TTAAAACTACTAAGATATCCTGCACAAGGCACTGGCTTATCTGTCATAGTCCACGAATATTAATATTATTTTTTTTTTTCCTTTACTTTTAAATGAATTATGTATTAAAATGGATGAACATAGCAATAAAAAAATAATTAAACGTCAATACTAAGAATATTAATTTTTTTTCCTTTACTTTTATTTCTGAATTCAATATATATTTTTTCATTGTTTCTAAATAAAGTGAGATTCTGACAAGGCTAATAACGGTGTTATTCAGTGATTCGAGGTACCGTGTCTGACATCTCAAATGGAATTGTAATTGTCAATGAAGCATTCATGGCAAAATTAGTAATCTTCAGTATCCTGAAGTTTTGTTGTATTACTGAAGAAGAAGAAGAAGAAGAAGAAAATTGGGTCTCAAAGTTCTGCGAAAAAAATCTCAAAGTCCAAATGAAAAAAATTGGCTTCAGCGTTATGACGTCGTAGGAAGGCGTCACATCAAAAAATTATAATAGACTTTCAAGAGGTCATAATTATTTGGACGTGATGTATGTACATTGTACATGTAAATATGTACTATCATGACTATAGTCTATAGTTTGAAAAAGAAAATTAATATTTTGAGTTGACATTCTGTTGTTGATAAATCCAGGTATCAGGTCCGTTCACTCCCAAAACACGTTCATCCCTGGTTCCGTTCGTACCCTATTTTTATTCAAATACAGGTTAAATTAACTGATGTTTTTTTCAGATGTATATCATGTATATATATATATATGATGTATATGAAAATAGTTTTATTTTCATGAATAAAAATTTGGGAATTTTTAAATGAAATATTTTTTTAATAATTTGATGTATTAATATTAATTGCTTTGAACATGTTGAATAATCATGATAATTGCTGGAATGTATGATATCATAATGAATTAAAATAAATAAATTTATAACTTAAGTTCTTCTTTACCTTCAAGCTTCTATTCATATGGAAATAGATGCTCTATATTGTAAATGATAGCTGTAATACAATGAATAATTTTTCCACCCTTTTCTTGGATGTGACAGACTGTTTTGGTGGTATCACACCTTAAGGAGACATTTTTGTTAAATAAACTGAATGTTAAATTTTTTTTATTTGAAATACTGGTTTATTATCATACTGGTTTCAATAAGTCCTTATGTTAAACTTCAGTTTACACTGCGGTAACTATCTCATATATGTAAGAATTGAATAATTGAAGCGTTCAAGCTAATTGAACTATCCATATACAAGTTTACTGACTCCATGAAGGTTTCAATAAGTCCTTATATGAAAGGTTACCCCGCATTCCAGAGAGGGACATACAAGTTGGTATAGAATTAATGAGATGGCTGATAAAACAGTTGAAATTCATAAATTTCAGTTTATAATTGTCATGATTATCTTTTTAGGATTTTGTTTTATTTTTGAAATCATAATTTTTATGTAAAAATTCCTCTTTTTTTTAAATTTATTATCTACACAAATGTAGGAATTTTTAAACAGAAGAATTTCCTGCAAATGTTATACATTGTTTTGTTGTGCAAATGTAGAAAAATTTGCGCAATTAAATGTAATACCCAATTAAACAATGTTAAACAAGATGAAAAAAAGAAATTAACATCATAGATTAACAGAAAGTTATCATGTATATATGTACATGTACAAATGTATGTATACTGGCTGCTCTACAAAGATACTGGTTTGACCCTTGACCCAAATTGATTCCACCCATTTGGAAAAATTTGTGATATGATAATGAAGAATTCAAATGTATTGAAATAATTATGGAATATAATCATCATGATCATGAAAATGAGTATTGAGCGCTGCTTTAATTACATTCACTTATTTTTGTCATGATTGTCCCTGATTTTAAAAGAAAAGCCACTTTGCTGTTTTTAGATCTACGTTATACATGTTATGCAGGTTAGATAGAAAAGTGAACCAAAAGATATACTAGTAAAAGTTTTGATCATGAAGTTTATCCAGGCCGGGTTTGCAACAGATTTTGTCAATTTCAATTTTGATGTCCAAAATTATATCATTTGATTTTCTGTAATGAAATTTGTGGCATTAAAATTCAAAGCTTGCCATGACACGTATCTGACAGCTTATCCCCACACTCATTATGCATGTAATTGAAAACATAACAAATTTTCTTTATTAATTAAGTATCTATATAGCGGACTGTGCCAGACCCTCATTGGTAGTTGTTTTTTTAAAACCTGCTAGTAACTACACTTATGTATCTACTATCTATATTCATGTACATTTGTATTACAGAAAAATTGGATTTATACCAGCACTTCATTTTATTTATAATAATGAAAACGAATTGGAATTGAATGATCAAAATTTAAAATATTTAAAATAAACTTCACTATATTTGTATACTTGATTATAAAGATGAGATTTAAACATTTGTCAGATGGATTTAAGAAACCAGGTGTTGCCACTTTTCACAATGTGATAATTTATTTCTCATATGACAGCTAAATGTTTTTACAATGTAGACATGTAGACTTTTCATTAAAACAGGTAGTATAGTTATATAGAGTGTATGAGATAAACAAGGTTGAAAATGTAAGATTGCTCAAGGGCACAAAATTGTAATTTTTTTTTTCAAATTGAAATTTTTTGTGCCAGCCCCCATAGCATGCATAGTGGGAAATATACCTGTGGAGACTATAATTGAAATAAAGTACTTGTAGGTATAAATGTACATCAAATAACAAGAATGAGATGTTTTAAATTAAATTACATGTATATATGTCATTCAAATATACATGTATATGTACATGTACATGACAAGGATTTTGATTAAATTAGCACAATCTGTCAAAGTGTAAATTCTACAATGTTCTGCATGTAGTTTGTTTTATTGCGTTCTGTTTTGTACATGGAACTAAGGAGTAATTTAGGAAATTCTTCTGTAAAGAGTTTGGTCACCTCTGGGAATTTTTAGATAATTAAATATAAGGTAAGCATGATATTAAAGTGGCTGTATCTTCATGATCTTAAGGCTTAATTAGTACATGTAAATGTGTTTTATTGGTTTTCTTCTTTTTCATCCTTGATATTTCTTGGAAGATACATGTTCTTACAAAATGTACTGTATATACATGTAGATGTTCAAAGTTCCCTTTCTGAAGATTTGGATATTGCAATTGTCCATCATCAATTTGCTGTGTGGCAGGTTATATGGGAGATATTATCTTGATATTTTTGCATTTTAGTAAAACTTTTGCAATTCTTCTTTTTAAATTTTGAACATTTTCCTTTTTCCCTTTTTTTTTCACCTGGCTTTTTTATATTGGATATTGTCTTCAATTCATCATTTTCTTTTAATTGATCTTTTTAATTGTAGAATGTAAATTGATATTTTTAACCAATAATCAAGATAAAATGTTATAGATCTACATGATCTAGAAGACTTTTTTTTAATCAGCATTCCAACTATCCTGGCTAGGATTAGTGAATAATACATCAATATTGTAACAATTAATACAATTATAAAAAACCATGCATATTAAATCTGTATATCAGAACAGAGGCCAATTTAAGGGAGGGGCCCAGGCCGTGGGCAGGCCCCCCTTTTGTGGAAAAAATTTGGTTGATTATATAGGGAATCATTGAAGCATGACTGGAGCGGGCCCCCTCTTAGGCAGTCAGTGGGCACCCCCTTATAAAAATTTCTGGATCCGCCACTGACTCTGCATGTAGAGTAAGTTTGATGAGAGGGGTTTGACCATTGAAAAATACATAAACATACATGGGATACCATACACATTTTGTACATGTAAAAGTATACATAACATGTAAGTAATGTAACTTTAATGAGCATGATGAGAGATAATGGTCTTTGAATGTAATTTACATGTTGGACAGTAGAATTGTATACTAAAAGAGTTTAGATACCCTCTCCCTTTTTATGGCCTGTCAATGTTTGACATTCAAACTGAATGTACATTTATAGTACATTGCATAAAAGATATAATCCATTACAATAAAATGATGATCTGACAACATGATTCCCTTGTGTTATAGACAATTTAACAGCGATGATTCATTCGGTAAACAAGTCCTTGATCTGGAAACTCCGTCAGAAAAGTTTGTTAATTGTTTAGAGAGATAAGGCTTATAGATCCAGAGCGAAACAGGCTGTGAAAACATTGAAAATAGTCAACAGTTTCTGCAGATTTTAATGATACTGAGGTACTAACGTTTGTACTGGAAGCTAATCATATAAATAAATGGGTTCTGGGAGTATATCTTGTATCAGCTACAAAGTTGATATCAGCATGATCAGTACTTTATTTATTTAAGCTGGGAAAAAAAAGATTTTCAGATAATTTTGTTTCCATCTGGGATACCTGTAGGTTTTTGATTTTGTCATGTGTCTGTTAGTCCAGAAATACAGTATTGAATAAAAAATCAGATCATTTTGGTATGTTCCAGAAATGCCAGATGTAAATCATGTAAGTTATATATATACATGTACAATTTGTTTTCTTTGTTTCTATGTGTTTCTTGAGAGTATTTGTGTTAGGAAGCTGTGAATGGGTGGTGTGGAGACAATCCAGTGATCTGTCCTCTCTTAAACTTATTGTCCATTTCAACTATACTTTTTTTTATGAAGTTTTGCAAAAAAATCTTGATGCAAGTTGCCAACTTGTTGCTTTTTGCTAATTTGTAATTTTTGTCGAGCCTGCGACTTTTGTCGCAGAAAACTCGACATAGGGATAGTCATCCCGCGGCGGCGGCGTTAGCTAATTTCTTAAAAGCTTTATATTTTAGAAGGTGGAAGACCTGGATGCTTCATACTTTGTATATGGATGCCTCATGTTACGAAGTTTCCGTCAGTCATATGTCCAATGTCCTTGACCTCATTTTCATGGTTCAGTGACTACTTGAAAAAAAAGTTAAGATTTTTTATAATGTTAAATTCTCTCTTATTATAAGTAAAAGGATAACTATATTTGGTATGTGCGTACCTTGCAAGGTCCTCATACCTGTCAGACAGTTTTCACTTGACCTCGACCTGATTTCATGGATCAGTGAACAAGGTTAAGTTTTGGTGGTCAAGTCCATATCTCAGATACTATAAGCAATAGGTCTAGTATATTCAGTGTATGGAAGGACTGTAAGGTGTACATGTCCAACTGGCAGGTGTCATCTGACCTTGACCTCATTTTCATGGTTCAGTGGTTATAGTTAAGTTTTGGTGTTTTGGTCTGTTTTTCTTATACTGTATGCAATAGGTCTACTATATTTGGTGTATGGAATGATTGTAAGGTGTACATGTCTAGATGGCAGGTGTCATCTGACCTTGACCTCATTTTCATGGTTCAGTGGTCAAAGTTAAGTTTTTGAGTTTTGGTCTTTTTAGTCCCCTACCGACGAAGTCGAAGGGGACTTTAGGTTTGCACTCCGTCCGTCTGTCCATCCGTCAGTCCGGCAAATCAGCTTTCCACACTTTTTTTCTTCGTTCTTGAAGATATTGATTTGATATTTGGTATATAGTTTTATCATGACAAGTTATAGATCAAGTTCGAATTTTGTTCCGGTCTGATGATTTAGTCCAGAGTTATGGACCATAACTCTGGACCATATCTTATGTTAGAGTACTATGTTAAACCATATTTCTGTACAAAGGGAGATAACCCATTTTTTTAAAGACATTCTTTGTTAAATTATTTGAAGAATTTTTTGACAGGTTTGTTTGTTATTTAGTATAAACTAATTTTCTGAATGCTATATATATAAAAAAAATTATGAAGAGAAATCCTTTAATTAAATAATAATCTATTTTTATTAATGTATATATTTCAATACATTACATTGTGTAGATAAAAGTTTTTGACATTTTATAGATAAGTTACAAATCTATATTAGTTTTGTGACAAATGAAAGAAAAAAATATTTGGAACTATTAATTATATCTGATTATAATTTGAAAATAGATATACACTGTGTTACATCATATCTAATTTTAGAGAACTATTAATCGTATCTAATGTTTTTTTCATCATGCTTATAAGATATTGATTGGTAATTGGTATATACATGTAGTTTTATCATGACAAGTTACAGATCAAGTTCAAATTTTTGTTTCGGTCTAATAATTTTGTGCAGAGTTATATATGGTCCTTGGACTTGAAAAATTCACTCATACAATCAGTTTTTATACGACCGCAAAAAAATTTTGTGGTCGTATATTGGTATGACGTTGGCGTCGTCGTCGTCGTCGTCCGGCGTCGTCATCCGGCGTCGTCGTCCGAACACATATTGGTTTTCGCACTCTAACTTTAGTTTAAGTGAATGGATCTTTTTGAAATTTGACCATAAGGTTAAATACCACAAAAGGAAGGTTGGGATTGATTTTGGGGGTTATGGTACCAACAGTTAAGGAATTAGGGGCCAAAAAGGGGCCAAAAATGAGCATTTTAAGTTTCCAGACAATAACTGTGGAACGGTGTATGGATCTCTCTGAAACTATACTACAAGTTTCCATACCACAAAGGGATGGTTAGGATTTGCTTTGGGGGGTTATGGCTCAAACCGTTTAGGAATTAGGGGCAAAAAAGGGGGAAAAACAAGGTTGTCCTGGTTAATGGACAAATACTTTAGTACAAAACATAATTTAAAGCAGTGTAAGGGAGATAAATCAAAAACATCATTGAAATTATCTCCCTTACACTGCTTTTAAATTATGTATAAAGTAATGGTTAATGAACAATAAAGATAATCTAAAACAGTGTAAGGGAGGTAGTCCAAATACAACGTTTTGGTTACTTCCCTTACACTGCTATTAAATTATGTTTAAAGAAATGCATATTTATAAAGGAAGACCAGTAAAAATATCTGCAAATGTTTTCATCTTTTTTTTTACAAAAAAATCCATATGAAAGATTTGACACTATATTTTTATTAATTCTATTATAAAATAGATTAAGTTAGCACTATGGTAAATTTAAATGGGTAATTATGGTTGCCAACTCCATTGGAAATTTGAATTGAGATTATGACCATATCTTGAGGGCAGCTGCTTGAGGGAAAGAATTTTTTTGGGGGAAAAAGAATTTAAAGAAGTAATCTTTAATTGCACAGTATGGCGCATTAGATTTGTAAAATCTTTGATCACATTTATTTATTTGTTATGCCGAATCTAACAGTGTATTTAGATTTTTAATTTTGGGTCCAGTTTTCAAATTGGTCTACATTAATGTCCAAAGGGTCCAAAATTAAACTTTGTTTGATTTTAACAAAAATTGAATTCTTGGGGTTCTTTGATATGCTGAATCTAAACATGTATTTAGATTTTTGATTTTTGGCCCAGTTTTCAAGTTGGTCCAAATTGGGGTCCAAAATTAAACTTTGTTTGATTTCAACAAAAATTGAATATATGGGGTTCTTTGATATGCTGAATCTAACCATGTATTTAGATTTTTTATTTGTGGACCCCGTTATCTAATTGGTTCATATTGAGGTCAAAAGGGTCCAAAATTAAACTTTGTTTGATTTCATCTAAAATTGAATTATTGGGGTTCTTTGATATTCCAAATCTAACCGTGTATTTAGGTTTTTAATTTTGGGTCCTGTTTTTTAAATTGGTCTACATTGAGGTCCAAAGGGTCCAAAATTAAACTTAGTTTGATTTTGACAAAAATTGAATTCTTGGGGTTCTTTGATTTGCTGAATCTAAACATGTGTTTAGATTTTTGTCGAGCCTGCGACTTTTGTCGCAGAAAGCTCGACATAGGGATAGCGATCCGGCGGCGGCGGCGGCGGCGGCGTTAGCTAACTTCTTAAAAGCTTTATATTTTAGAAGATGGAAGACCTGGATGCTTCATACTTTGTATATGGATGCCTCATGTTACGAAGTTTCCGTCAGTCACATGTCCAATGTCCTTGACCTCATTTTCATGGTTCAGTGACTACTTGAAAAAAAAGTTAAGATTTTTTGTAATGTTAAATTCTCTCTTATTATAAGTAATAGGATAACTATATTTGGTATAGGCGTACCTTGCAAGGTCCTCATGCCCGTCAGACAGTTTTCACTTGACCTCGACCTCATTTCATGGATCAGTGAACAAGGTTAAGTTTTCGTGGTCAAGTCCATATCTCAGATACTATAAGCAATAGGTCTAGTATATTCGGTGTATGGAAGGACTGTAAGGTGTACAGGTCCAACTGGCAGGTGTCATCTGACCTTGACCTCATTTTCATGGTTCAGTGGTTATAGTTAAGTTTTTGTGTTTTGGTCTGTTTTTCTTATACTGTATGCAATAGGTCTACTATATTTGGTGTATGGAATGATTGTAAGGTGTACATGTCTAGCTGGCAGGTGTCATCTGACCTTGACCTCATTTTCATGGTTCAGTGGTCAAAGTTAAGTTTTTGAGTTTTGGTCTTTTTTTCTAATACTGCATGCAATAGGTCAGCTATATTTGGTGTATGGATTGATTGTAAGGTGTACATGTCTAGCTGGCAGGTGTCATCTTACCTTGACCTCATTTTCATGGTTCAGTGGTCAAAGTTAAGTTCAGTGATCGGGAAGGACATGCGCCTTGCGCCAATTGCGCTTATCGACCAGAAATGGCGCAAAGAGTGACAAATGTAAGCGCCCGCGTGGCGCATGATATTTTTCACTTCGTTTTGAAACGTTGAGATATCGTCAAATGGATTTCCGATCGTATTTCGTGCCGCCATGTGTGAGTACACAACTGTGTAGTGTTTACTCCAATGATAGGAGCACCTATATATTTTTGGGACGTCTCGGGTGTTTTCCTATGGTAATAATAGCAACATGCGGTATGACTGATTACCCAAAAAACGTAATTAACCATCATTCATGATATAATTTTTTATAAACAACTTTAAATTTGTGAAAATTGGCTAGTACAGGCGAGAATTCTTCTCTTATTATAATCTTTTAAGTAAGCTTGCTATTATTTCGATTGAAAAATCCGAAAGCCTTTTTATGAATAGCATAGTATTTGTCTCCATAAAAGGGGCTTAACTGACCTTGTCAATTTTTTTGGTCTTTGGCTCGTTTTGACATTTTGTAAACATGCCTTCAGCTAATTGTTGTTGTGTCTTATCAATTAACGTTGCTCTCTACTGTTATTCTTGTCATCGTGATGAAGTAATAATAATACAAGTGCAGAGGAAATGCCAGAAACGTCCTCTAATACGGAACGTCTGGAATAAGTATGGTATCGACGAAGACCCAAATTTAATGTAAAAAAAACCCATAACATGAACAAGGGAACAGTACCAGTTTTAACATTGTAAATTAAGGTTATCGTAAATATTGCCCGGTTTGGAAGAAGTTATTGTATATTCATTGAAATTGAAATTACAAAATCACAGGAACAATATCCATGATATTAATTAGAATCATACTTGTACATTTTGTAAGTACGGTGAAATATACACTTTTTTATTTTTATTTTTTATTGTAAACGAATGGCCCACTCATTTGACAACATGGCCCATTAATTCTAAAAATGGCCCATTGAATTTATTTTTGGAGGGCCCTGGGCCCATAGAGAAAAAATCCTTCCAGATCACTGAAGTTTCGAGTTTTGGTCTTTTTTTCTAATACTATATGCAATAGTTCAACTATATTTGGTGTATGGAAATATTTTATGATCTATATGTCAGTCACGCAGGTTTTATTTGACCTTGACCTCATTTTCAAGGTTCATTGCTCAGTGTTAAGTTTTTGTGTTTTGGTCTGTTTTTCTTAAACTATAAGCAATAGGTCAACTATATTTGTTGTATGGAAGAATTGATAGCTGTACATGCCTGCCTAGCATGGTTCATCTGACCTTGACCTCATTTTCATGGTTCATTGGTCAATGTTTAGTTTACTTGGTTAATGTTAAGTTTATGTGACAGTTGTAATAAAGCTTTATATTTAGGACTATCAACATAATATCAATGATTAGTAAAGAAGGCGAGACATTTCAGCGTGTGCACTCTTGTTGATTATGGGCCCAGTTTTCAAGTTGGTCCAAGATAGGGTCCAGTATTTAAACTTTGTTTGATTTCAACAAAAATTGAATATATGGGGTTCTTTGATATGCTGAATCTAAACATGTATTTAGATTTTTGTCGAGCCTGCGACTTTTGTCACAGAAAGCTCGACATAGGGATAGTGATCCGGCGGCTGCGGCGGCGGCGTTAGCTAACTTCTTAAAAGCTTTATATTTTAGAAGGTGGAAGGTCTGGATACTTCATACTTTGTATATGGATGCCTCATGATACGAAGTTTCCGTCAGTCACATGTCCAATGTCCTTGACCTCATTTTCATGGTTCAGTGACTACTTGAAAAAAAAGTTAACATTTTTTGTAATGTTAGATTCTCTCTTATTATAAGTAATAGGATAACTATATTTGGTATGTGCGTACCTTGCAAGGTCCTCATGCCCGTCAGACAGTTTTCACTTGACCTCGACCTCATTTCATGGATCAGTGAACAAGGTTAAGTTTTGGTGGTCAAGTCCATATCTCAGATACTATAAGCAATAGGTCTAGTATATTCGGTGTATGGAAGGACTGTAAGGTGTACATGTCCAACTGGCAGGTGTCATCTGACCTTGACCTCATTTTCATGGTTCAGTGGTTATAGTTAAGTTTTTGCGTTTTGGTCTGTTTTTCTTATACTGTATGCCATAGGTCTACTATATTTGGTGTATGGAATGATTATAAGGTGTACATGTTTAGCGGGCAGGTGTCATCTGACCTTGACCTCATTTTCATGGTTCAGTGGTCAAAGTTAAGTTTTTGAGTTTTGGTCTTTTTTTCTAATACTATATGCAATAGTTCAACTATATTTGGTATGTGCGTACCTTGCAAGGTCCTCATGCCCGTCAGACAGTTTCACTTGACCTCGACTTCATTTCATGGATCAGTGAACAATGTTTAGTTTTGGTGGTCAAGTCCATATATCAGATACTATAAGCAATAGGTCTAGTATATTTGGTGTATGGAAGGACTTTTAGGTGTACATGTCCAACTGGCAGGTGTCATCTGACCTTGACCTCATTTTCATGGTTCAGTGGTTATAGTTAAGTTTTTGTGTTTTGGTCTGTTTTTCCTATACTGTATGCCATAGGTCTACTTTATTTGGTGTATGGAATGATTGTAAGGTGTACATGTCTAGCGGGCAGGTGTCATCTGACCTTGACCTCATTTTCATGGTTCAGTGGTCAAAGTTAAGTTTTTTGAGTTTTGGTCTTTTTTTCTAATACTATATATGCAATAGTTCAACTATATTTGGTGTATGGAAATATTTTATGATTTATTTGGCAGTCACGCAGGTTTTATTTGACCTTGACCTCATTTTTCAAGGTTCATTGCTCAGTGTTAAGTTTTTGTGTTTTGGTCTGTTTTTCTTAAACTATAAGCAATAGGTCAACTATATTTGTTGTATGGAAGAATTTTTAGCTGTACATGCCTGCCTAGCATGGTTCATCTGACCTTGACCTCATTTTCATGGTTCATTGGTCAATGTTTAGTTTACTTGGTTAATGTTAAGTTTATGTGACAGTTGTAATAAAGCTTTATATTTAGGACAATCAACATAATATCAATGATTAGTAAAGAAGGCGAGACATTTCAGCGTGTGCACTCTTGTTGATTATGGGCCCAGTTTTCAAGTTGGTCCAAATTGGGGTCCAAAATTAAACTTTGTTTGATTTCAACAAAAATTGAATATATGAGGTTCTTTGATATGCTGAATCTAACCATGTATTTAGATTTTTTATTTGTAGGCCCCGCTATCAAATTGGTTCATATTGAGATCAAGAGGGTCCAAAATTAAACTTTGTTTGATTTCATCGAAAATTGAATTATTGGGGTTCTTTGATATGCCAAATCTAACCGTGTTTTTAGATTTTTAATTTGGGTCCCGTTTTTTAAATTGGTCTTCATTGAGGTCCAAAGGGTCCAAAATTAAACTTAGTTTGATTTTAACAAAAATTGAATTCTTGGGGTTCTTTGATATGCTGAATCTAAACATGTATTTAGATTTTTGATTATGGGCCCAGTTTTCAAGTTGGTCCAAATTGGGGTCCAAAATTAAACTTTGTTTGATTTCAACAAAAATTGAATATATGAGGTTCTTTGATATGCTGAATCTAACCATGTATTTAGATTTTTTATTTGTAGGCCCCGCTATCAAATTGGTTCATATTGAGGTCAAAAGGGTCCAAAATTAAACTTTGTTTGATTTCATCTAAAATTGAATTATTGGGGTTCTTTGATATTCCAAATCTAACCGTGTATTTAGGTTTTTAATTTTGGGTCCTGTTTTTTAAATTGGTCTACATTGAGGTCCAAAGGGTCCAAAATTAAACTTAGTTTGATTTTGACAAAAATTGAATTCTTGGGGTTCTTTGATTTGCTGAATCTAAACATGTGTTTAGATTTTTGATTATGGGCCCAGTTTTCAAGTTGGTCCAAGATAGGGTCCAGTATTTAAACTTTGTTTGATTTCAACAAAAATTGAATATATGGGGTTCTTTGATATGCTGAATCTAAACATGTATTTAGATTTTTGATTATGGGCCCAGTTTTCAAGTTGGTCCAAATTGGGGTCCAAAATTAAACTTTGTTTGATTTCAACAAAAATTGAATATATGAGGTTCTTTGGTATGCTGAATCTAACCATGTATTTAGATTTTTTTATTTGTAGGCCCCGCTATCAAATTGGTTCATATTGAGGTCAAAAGGGTCCAAAATTAAACTTTGTTTGATTTCATCGAAAATTGAATTATTGGGGTTCTTTGATATGCCAAATCTAACCGTGTTTTTAGATTTTTAATTTGGGTCCCGTTTTTTAAATTGGTCTTCATTGAGGTCCAAAGGGTCCAAAATTAAACAGTTTGATTTTAACAAAAATTGAATTCTTGGGGTTCTTTGATATGCTGAATCTAAACATGTGTTTAGATTTTTGATTATGGGCCCAGTTTTCAAGTTGGTCCAAGTTGGGGTCCAAAATTAAACTTTTTTTGATTTCAACAAAAATTGAATATATGGGGTTCTTTGATATGCTGAATCTAACCATGAATTTAGATTTTTTATTTGTGGGCCCCGCTATCAAATTGGTTCATATTGAGGTCAAAAGGGTCCAAAATTAAACTTTGTTTGATTTCATCAAAAATTGAATTATTGGGGTTCTTTGATATTCCAAATCTAACCGTGTATTTAGATTTTTAATTTTAAGTCCCGTTTTTTAAATTGGTCTACATTAAGGTCCAAAGGGTCCAAAATTAAACTTAGTTTGATTATAGCAAAAATTGAATTCTTGGGGTTCTTTGATATGCTGAATCTAAACATGTGTTTAGATTTTTGATTATGGGCCCAGTTTTCAAGTTTGTCCAAGTTGGGGTCCAAAATTAAACTTTGTTTGATTTTAACAAAAATTGAATATATGGGGTTCTTTGATATGCTGAATCTAACCATGTATTTTGATTTTGGACATTGGACCATAATAGGTAAATTAAAAAAATTCAAGTTCTTAGACCACATTCTTTCTGTGTCAGAAACCTATGCTGTGTCAAATATTTAATAACAATCCAAATTCAGAGCTGTATCAAGCTTGAATGTTGTGTCCATACTTGCCCCAACTGTTCAGGGTTCGACCTCTGCGGTCGTATCAAGCTGCGCCCCAGCGAAGCATTTTATCTACACTTGTTTTTAGTCATGCTTGAAGATAATATATTGACATGATATTTACTTTTTGTTTACACCATGACAAGTTATAGAACAAGTTAGCATTTTGTTCCAGTATAATGAATTTTTACCCGGTAGGTGACTATGTATTGCCATGCAATACTCTCAGAATGCTTGTTTTCTAATACTATATGCAATAGGTCAACTATTTTTGGTGTATGGAAATATTTTATGATCTATACGCAGTCGCGCAGGTTTCATTTGACCTTGACCTCAATTTCACAGTTCATTGATCAGTGTTAAGGTCTTGTGTTTTGGTCTGTTTTTCTTATACTGTATGCTATAGGTCTACTATATTTGGTGTATGGAATGATTGTAAGGTGTACATGTCTAGTTGGCAGGTGTCATCTGACCTTGACCTCATTTTCATGGTTTGGTGGTTTTACTTTTAAGTTTTTGTGTTTTAGTCTGTTTTTCTTATACTGTTTGCAATAGGTCTACTATATTTGGTGTATGGAATGATTGTAAGGTGTACATGTCTAGCTGGCAGGTGTTATCTGACTGTGAACTGATTTTCACAGTTCATTGCTCAGTGTAAATTTTTTTGTGTCTTGTTCCATTTTTATTCTTATACTGTTTTTGATAAGTGAACTATATTTGATGTATGGAATGTTTATGAGGTATTTATGTCTGTCTGCCAGATATCATATGACCTTGACCTGATTTACATGGCTCATTAGTCAATGTTAAGTTTTCCTGCTGAACTTTGTCTTGGTTAAGTCTGTTTCTTAGAAACTATAAGCAGTAGGTCAACTATATTTAGTGTATTGAATGATTGTAAGGTGTACATGTATTTCTCTTTCGGTTTATATCAGACCTTGACCTCATTTTCTTGGATCATGTTAAGTTTATGTGATAGTTGTAGTAAAGCTTTATATTTAGGACTATCAACATAATATCAATGGTTAGTAAAGAAGGCGAGACATTTCAGCATGTGCACTCTTGTTAGGTTTATTTGAACTTTAATTTGCCAGGCCATGGATGATAGATTTTGGAAGTAGACTTAATAGCAATCTGTTTAATACGCAGTTTATTGATTAAAAGTGTTAATCAATGTCTATTAAACTGTTATTAATAAAGGCCTTAGGGTAATACCTATACTCATATATATATATATATTATGTGTGAGATCATTGTATCATCACAAGACAGTGAGACAATCCAGCTTCCTCAAGATAAGGAATACCAATAACACACCACCACACAGTGCTCAGTGTTCTTCACTCAATTTCAAATGCCATTTTCTTGAAATACATTTACCGGTAATTTCCAATTAGTGTATATAAAAAAGAAGATGTGGTACGATTGCCAATGAGACAACTCTCCATAAGAGACCAAATGACACAGAAATTAACAACTGTAGGTAACCCTACGGTCTTCAACAATGAGCAAAGTCCATACCGCACAGTCAGCTATAAAAGGCCCCGAAATGACAATGTAAAACAATTCAAACGAGAAAACTAACGACCTAATTTATGTACAAAAAATAAACGAAAAAAAAATATGTAACACATAAACAACGACAACCACTGAATGAGTTTCTCTCTGATGAAGGTCATAAAGTTACAACCCAAATTTTGTAATGAAATCTTGAAAGAAATTCATTTTAGGATTTGGTCAGAGTATGCATATTCACATGATTCAAGCATTATGATATGTGGTATTTGGTGATAATACATAACATATATAAAGGTTGAGACTGAACACAAATGTGGCCATTTCCATTTTAGACAAACATTGACAAAAACCATCTGAAAAATGATGTTTATGGCATTTTTGCTAAATTTTCATATCTAAGCTTGAATTTGAGCGTCTTTAATGACCAAATGAGTTCAAATCTTTTACATTAACTAATTGAATCGACTTAAGTAAACACTTAAGTGTTTTAAAAATATCAAAAATCTTTCATTAAACATGTTAAATGTACTTCGAATATTAGGCCAAAACTAGCCCTTACTGGACCTTCTCCTTTTTGGTCATTTCTGTTTTCCATTTAATGTTACATGTAAACATACATATGTAAAAAAAAACATTATTTCTCCAGTTTCAAGGGACTATAAAGTGTGTGTGTTCTCCGTCAATTGGATTTGTTAGGTTATATAAGTGCAGATGTTGAGTAGGTGGTGGTTGTTGTAGATTACATGATGTTTAGGGTTCAATATGATACTGTAAATTCAGAAATGATTGCGTGCATTTATTTTTGCGATTTTGTCATTTTAGACTACAATGCGATTTTAATTTTTGCGATATTGAGAAAAATCCTGTTTAACTCATATAGAAAATTTCAAAATACGAGTTTTAATTATTGCGATTCACATTTTTCGCAATAATAAAAACATCGCAATAATTTCTGAATTTACAGTACTGTAAATTCGGAAAATATGGCGGGGGTTTTTAGTAATGTGAATAATATGACTACTTAAGTATCACAATAATCATGATAATAAGAACTTGCATTCTGATATGATTTTATCAAATACATATATCTGTATGTAGCTTTTCCTAAAATTGCAATAATCAAACTTGCATTTTATTAATTCTTCAAAAATCGCAATAATAAATGCACTCAAAATAATTTCTGAATTTTTAATTTACAGTAGATAACTTGTTATTTTAGGTACAGTAAAATATTTTTTACAATACTCAGGATTATGAAAAAAATGGGGATGTACACTAATGTCACAGCTATTTTACCAGTTAAGATTACTTAACTTTCTATGTAGTATTTGGATATTTGATTTAATTGCTCCTTTTTTAAAAAAGAACCACAAACCTACATGTACATGTATGAACAAAATCATCAATGGTCATGATCATGCAGTAATGCTTCCTGGATTCATATAAGGTGTAACCAACTAAAGAAAAAAATATGTTATTTTTAGTTATCACTTTTTTTAACACTGTCAGAAGTATATATCTAGCTCAGGTTTTGTATACATAGTTTATGACATGTGTATATCATGTAGATAGGTGGGACTTTTATACATGTAATATGATTATTGTCCCCAAAAAAAGAATTACAAATATTGACAATAAACAAATTCTATACGCCTCAGATGAGTCATACTAATATTATCTCACAAATAAACATATATTGACTTACTACCTACAAATTCGTTAAAGGTAAGCTGTTCATCAATTTATTTTTTATGGAGTTGCACTCTAAATAGTGTTTTGCTTTCAATTTGAAACTATAATCTATATTTTGTATGTACGTGTAGCTACTGTACACATGGTACAGTATATAAAAGTATTTTATTTTGAAATAGAGAAAGATTGAATGTGTCTTTGATTTGTATGTAAAAACTTAGGTGATGAACAATGATTGAGATTATAAAATACAATTCAGTTATTTGTAATTTGCCAAGAGTATATAATCATCAGGGTACCCTGTATATACTGAACCATAGCTACATTACATTCCTTGTGATATTTATTTATTTTTTTGGAAGAAACGTGGAACAGATATATCTGGTCTGCAAATTATCCAAAATAATATTACAAGGACCATAAGAGCTACAGTTCTGTAACTAGGTACAAAAATGTAACCTGGTGCTTTCGAAATTGATCTTGATTCTTTTATGAATTTTTTTATTTATTGAGAAAAATAAAAGGTTTTTCAATGTGTCAGTCACTTACGATAGAAAAGGGCATTATGTTTTCTAGTCTGTGTCTTTCTGTTAATCTTCATGTCATGTATCTGGCAAAAGTTTGGTATAAGATAGTTTACCTTGAAATTGTGATCACCTCAACTTGAGACTTCGTACGCATATTTATTATGATGTGAACTTTTTAAAGTAAATATGGCAGATTAAGGGTGTTAAGCCAGATTTTGCAGTTCATTGAACATAAAAACACTGTAAAAATGTGATAGTGTGAGTGGGGGATGTTGTCCTATATATTGACATATACACTCTAAATCATATTTTCATAAAAAAAAAAATTTAATGCATTTTGAATAATATATACATGTAGTTGCATGGTATACATAAATTCCAGTAACAATGCTTTACAACTTAGACCCCTTTTACATTTGTACGAAATTGAATCAATCTTTTTATTTGAATGATCTTAAAAAGAGCAGTTCTGGTTTACATTTGCACAAGCAAGATCAATCTTTTTTAATCTAGTGCATTTACACTGCAATATATATAAAAAGAATCGGTCTGACCTTATTACCTAACAAAAAATTGTAAATACATGTATAGAATAATTATGTTAATGTGTGCATTTCAGGAAATAGTTGATTCATTAGATTACTTATGCAGTTATTAATTATCTTTTTTATTCACATGTCACAAGTCATTTAACAAGAAAATGTGAGAAGACTATCACTTACAAGGGAAAGGTCATTTCATTTAAAGATGCACAAATAAATAGGATTTATCTATTCAGAACAATGATGCCATAAACAGCAGAATATATTTCTTTTTTTGTTTGTGTTATCCTCATGTTCTTTCAAATTATTGGAGAATGTGGATGACAATTTATAGCAGATTTTTTATAGATCGTTTTATGGATGTGATGGTATAATTCTAGAAACAAGGGTGGTATTTCAATATTCCCTGTAATGAGGATGCTACATTGTATATGAAACTTTTGGGGAGAACACTATATAAACCTAATGCCAAATACTTAGTACACACTACTCTGTTTTAGATAAACTACTAAAGCTATCACTCATGCATGACTTATATTATTTAAAGTGTGTCATTCTGCAAAAGATATTGATTTAGACAGTTTAAACAGCATGTCTTGATTAAAACAACAGCATCTGATCTATTTTGTTGATTAACAACAGTCAAAAACCCATTTCTGTGCTGTTACCCTAATATCCAGAGACCAGACTTTCATGACTAGTTCTGACTTAAGTATGGTTTTCCATCATGTCCTGCCATTTATCAAGATCTGTGGGAGAGAGATGGGAATTGCCTATAATTGACTGAGATTATACCAATGCTAGTTCATCAATATTGACGAATTCTCATGATTTATGTTTTTCAGACCTTAGTAAACAAACCAAATAAAGATTTGGAGAGAAGAAAAGTACTTTGCTGATTAAAGACTGAAAGGTAATACAATCATTTATCTAATTGTATTTAAGCATAGTCACACCTCATTGGAAAAAAGTCATGGCGGAGGGGGTGATAGTATATTCTGATATCCTGTGATCAGCTGATAATTCTTTTTTCTTCAACATCAAACTAAAGAGTTTGTTACTTACATACATGTCTTAAGGTAGATCGGGTGTCTTTTTCTGAGCATCCGTTTTGGGCATATTGCAAAAAAACTCACTGGGTTTAAAAATATTTTACCAAGATCATTCAATATACAAAAGAAACATCTAAACCTTGAAATTTTAGGATTTAACTAAGAAAAATTCAGTGTGGTTACATGTATTTAAAATTTTCAGAAAAATCCTTTTTCTCAGAAAATGACTCCCGATCTACCTTTTAAAATCAAGGCCAAGGGCAGATAATTATATTGAATTTGATAGAATAGAAAACAAAGGATATGGGGTATCCATCCATGACACAAAATCAGTACATGTACATTCACAGCAAAAAAACACACAATATGCAAAGGAACAAGAATAGGTGGTGTCTTAATAAAATTTGAGTACACAAACTGGCATAAAATTGAGAGAATGATGTGGCACACATAAGAGAAGTTATCTCAAGAATAAATACCCCATAACTTTAAAAATACAGAAGAGCATACATATCAAGCACGGGGAAACTTTCTACGGCCTCCACACAGCACGAGAAACAAACTCCGTTAACATTTAATAGAAAAACAAAAAATTAAGGTTCCCGTATATCATTTATATATAACCCATATAGAATAACAAATTTTGCTATTTTCAATGTATTTTAACGGGAAAAAACAAGGACAGTGCACGTGACCCCCAGTTTTTATTATGAAATTTGAAAGTACATTGATCAAGAAGTCTTTTAAATACAGAAGTTTTGAAAAAATCTATTGTTGGACATTTTGACTCCCTAGCCACCTCAATGCTGAAATCACCCTTTTTCATCAACATTATGATCAATTACTTTTCATGAATCCTTTCTACATTGTAGATATAGATTTCTTTTATATAATATGCACCTAAATTACCATTACATGATTTGAATAGTCTTTCTATAGCTATGCTGCTCAATTATGCATTCATCTGTTTTTAATGACGAATATAGCTAAATATAGAAATATTATTCCGCTTATAAAATAGAGATTTAATTGTCAGATTTAATCTTACCATGACCTTTTTGTTTTATTGGTCATGAATCAGTTTCAATGCTGGAAATGGACGATGTAATATTGTAATAGTCTGTCACTGATGTTCATTTCATGGCAGCTCTTTTGATAATGTGTTGTCCCGTATTTCATTAACTAGAAAAATTCAATATTGAATATATTTGACTTTATATTGGAATCGTTTATAAGAGAAAAATGGTAGTGTAATGATTATTGGTTCAATATTCCATGATGGAATGTTGAATCCTGCATCAACCTCTATTTTTTTCACCTATGGCTATAAGTGTAGATCTGGTTTGTTCATGAATTCAGTTACTAACAAAAAGTAACATGACTAATTAGCTTGAAAAAAAATGATTACAATATAATCATGACAATTAGAAATTAATTATTAATATTTTCATTGAGGATCATGATTTATATATTGATGTTTAATAATGAGTGATATATCAATCATTGTATTAGTGAGACATGATTCATGAAATTGATATAATGAATATATATGTATATACACATGATACATACATTGTACTGATTCTAAATATAAGTATTAAAAAATAACACCAAAGTTATCTGATATTTAATGGGAATTCATATTTTTAGAAACACGAAAATCCCTTTATTTAACATGTATATCGTAAATTTAGATGTAATTAAGTTCTAAAGGAAAGACTAGACCTTTACAATTGTATAATAAAGACCAAAACTATAGTTGGCATTGTTGTGTATTTTATGTCTGACATAAAATGAAAAAGGGTGTGTCAAATGTCCATTCTTTAAATGTTGTGTAATTGGCACTAAGTCACACCTATTGCATCATGATTTCGGTGGACATGAATATATAAGTACAGGGGATTTTTAAATAGCCAAAGAATGTTCAATACACTAAAGAATAGTTTATTTTTATTCGTTGTGAAGTAAAATATACACCCACACCTTTGATTTCTGTAAATGAAAGTAAGTGATTTTTCATAAAATCTGAATTCTTCTTGAATGTTTGTAAGTGTTGATTATTTTGAAGATGTCAAATGAATTTTTTAACAACTTAATTTCCACTTTTAGATTTTTATGGGTTTTTTTATCTAATAACGACTTAATTTTCTACTTAATTTTAATTTTTTTGTTTTTATGTTTATTTCCTGAACAAACATTTTTTAAAATAATCTTTTTTTATTTTATTTACGACTGTGTTTTATGAAGATATTTAACCCATTTATGTTCAAATTGTTAAACATTTCATTTTGTTCTAATACTGTGTTGCTTACCTTTTGTCTATATACAAAAAAGATTGTTAAGACTTATGTTAAAAGTAAAATAACAAAAATACAAAACTCCAAGGAATATTTAAAACGGAAAGTCCCTTATCAAATGGCAAAATCAAAAGCTCAAAATAAAGTAATATTAAACTGGGGGAGGGGGGCTCTGTGACGGATTGGTCTAAGTAGTTTGACTCTACTCCAATCTAAATTGACTAGGATTGTCAGTTTTCCTACCGAAGGTCAGTGATTCTCTCCTGGCACTCTGCCTTCCTCCACCAATTAAAACTGATCGCCTAGCGATAGAACAAATGTGCTGAAAGTGGCCTTAAACACCAACCAACCAATCAATCAATATTTAAAAACTCTTAGCAGAAAAAGGAATGATTATAAATGTCATGGAATTTTATCTTTGCACAGCATTTTTATGCATTAAGTTTTACCCTTGTCCGTCTGTATGTACGAATGTACGTCCCAAAATTGGTTTCCGTTCTCTAACTTGAGTTTGCCTCAACCAAATGTTATGAAACTTATACTCAAACTTTTACCATTCTAGAGTTATGCCCCTTTACAAATGGAAAAATTGCAAAATTTTTAGTTTCCGTTCTGTAACCTAAGTTTGCCTCAACCAAATGTTATGAAACTTATATTCAATGCTTATTACCACAAAACACAGATCAAGTTTGAATTTTGGTGGCGTCACTTTAACTGTTCTAGAGTTATGCCCCTTTATAAATGGAAAAATTGCAAAATGTTTAGTTTCCGTTCTGTAACTTAAGTTTGCCTCAACCAAATGTTATGAAACTTATACACAATGCTTATTACCACAAAACAGAGATCAAGTTTGAATTTTAGTTGCGTCACTTTAACCGTTCTAGAGTTATGCCCCTTTATAAATGGAAAAATTACAAAATTTTTATTTTCTTCTAAATATCAAGTAATTTTTATTTTGGAGTTATCTTCCTTTGTCCATGATTATAGTTGAATCAACTACAATCAATGCTTTATACAATGCAATGTTTAATTTTGACTTTCACTGATAAAACACAGATCAAGTTGAATTTGGGTAGTGTCACTTTAACCATTATTGAGTTATGCCCCTTTATAAATCGAAAGATTGCAAAATTTTTAGTTTCCATTCTGTAACTTAAGTTTGCCCAAACCAAACATTATGAAACCTATACACAATATTCATTACCACGAAACTAAGATCAAGTACAAAGTTTTTGTTTCCTTTTTGGAAAATGACGCTATCAGCGGCATGTTTCCGATACCATTGACCAGAACTAACGGAAGTTGATTATGCCTCCGCCTACCGCACTCGGTTTCATATTTAACCAGTTTACATACGTTATTTTATTTACCAAAAAGATATCTTGAACTGTCCATATGTTTTTTGTTATTAAATGGTATTTGGAGCTATCCCTTTGTTATATTTTTCATATTTATTCGAGCTATGACTTTTATGCACATGTCTTACAATCGTAAACAATCGGTATGTATACATGATAAATAGATCCGTTTTGTTATGGTGTTGGACTTTTTACCCTCCAATGATCAGCAATCGCTAGACAAAATAGTTCTAAATATTGTCAGCCTTTCATGCCATTTCAACTTTACAATCATTAAAAAAGTTATAATCGGAATCATTTTGATATTCATTGGATAGAAACTGGTCTTTATCCAGATTTACGAAGATTTTAATAATCGGAAATTAGTAATACGGTTATACCCACGCGGTGCGTATGAATCTTTGTTTACAAAGTTATAGCAGCAGAGTCTGTAACTGTATCATTATTAATTAACTACACTGTTATTGTACTTAATATGATGAAAACTGCATATGCAATATAAGATGTCAACTCGGCCAATACAGATTTTTTTTCCGTATTGGCCGAGTTCTGATCCGGCCAAAACAGGATTTCGGAACGTCTCTAGTTTTTAGATCGTAAGTCACGATAAAACTCAAACTGAAAGTAAACAGTTGTTTGTACGACACAGTTTTTATTTACTCACCATAAACAAGCTGAAACGTTCAGTATGGCATATATGTTATGTTAAAGACGGTCCCATTCATTTGAAAAGCATTTTGAAAGTAGACGATGGAATTATTTCAGGTTTGGGGAACGAGTAAATTATCACAAAGTTCATTTCTTGACGACCTCATAATTTCATCATGTCGATGGTACAAATCGATTTTTACTGTTTACTTTCGCTTCTCATGTTTTGTAAAAGGTCTTTTATTTTTAAACCCGAACCAGGCATATGCATTCTGTAATTGCGCAAATCTTCGTTCTTTGGTCAATTGGCTTATGGATAGTTGTATCAATTTCAACTCTTACATTATTTTTTTTTTAAATATATTTGCATTACACATGCAATGGCAGTACCTTTCCAATTACTATTTATGTGTTGTGTCTAAATTAAAGTTGTAACACTTTATAGTGACTGGAAAGGGTAGAAAAATTCATCAGATGAGAAAAGGTTGAAGATACATGGAAACGGCACCAAATCATTAGATATTGCATCTTATAAAAAGAAACTGAGATTTGGATAGTTCCACTTCAAGGTAAAAATGTTTATCTCTTGTGAAATGAAATAAAAAAATATTGTAACACTGCAGTTAATTAATAAAGATACTATTACATGTATTTCTGTATTGGCCTTATTGTTGGTCCTCGGCCAGCAGTATTGGCCTTCGGCTTCGCCTCAGACCAATACACCAAGACATGGACCAATAACAAGGACAATACAGAAATACTTACGCAATAATATTATAGAATGACAGTATGGTTCAATAGCGGGAATCAGCCCCTCAACTACTTTTTACATAAATATTAACTTCTGGCTTCAACTCCTTGTTCGTTTTGTCTGGAGATCTTGTTGTAGTTCCAGTTAGGCAAGCATTTTAGAGACGTATCCCGTCCATCCTCTCTTGACTTGTAATTTCTGGTGATAGATTTTGCCGCTTGACGTTGTATCCTTTCAAGCTTGTTTTTTTTTGTTACCGTGTAGGGGTCCCATACTATGGCTCCATATTAAATTGTAAGATCCATTCCTAAAGGTCTAGATCATTGTTCTAATCTGACACAAATTTCAATAACTGGAATGCTACCCAAGTTGAATATATGGTGACCTACTAGAACAGCATTATCACTATTGAAATTGTGTTTAATACCATGATTGTTCAATGTCATTAACTTAAATGGAGACAGACATTTGGCCTGAAAGGTGGTGTGGGAGTGCAAAATCAAAAACTAACTGACTATGATATATGGTTAAAGAATGAATATCAATTACATGGGTCAACATGGTCAAGGGCAGAGTTGTTATGAAATAACAATATGGCAGAGAAGTGGTTTCAAGTTTCATATAAAGCGACCTGACTGACATGAAATAAAAAATCAAAGGAGTATCCCTATTTGTCTAATCTTCAAGGTGAAATAAAACTAGTAAAACAATATTATACTATTGTCTAAATCTACAGAAATATAATTTGCTGCAAGTAACAGAAATAACTAGGTCACTAGTAACTTATTTAATGAGTATGTGGGGTATAAGAGCTTGATAACAACAGGCTCTTCATAATCATTTGGTTTGAAAAGGATGCTAGTAGTCTATATTCTTGATTTAGAAAAATGTAATTGTAAGACAAAAATCACATTACTTAGAATACTTTAGATCATTCAGGTAGTCTTTATTTATATGTACAAAAGAACAGCCAGTAGTCATTGGATATTGTAGATCATTCAAATAGTCTTGACCTATTTATTAGTACAAAAGAACAGCCAGTAGTCATTGGATATTGTAGATCATTCTGGTAGTCTTGACCTATTTATTTATAGAAAAAAACAGCCAGTAGTCATTGGATACTGTAGATCATTCAGGTAGTCTTGACCTATACATTTGTACTAAAAAAACAGCCAGTTGTCATCTTCACATAACACACACATATACGAATATCAATTATATGCTTACGAGACATGTTGGAATGTTAAACTAATTACGGTATGTGAAAATCAAGACTTGCATAAAAAATATCACAATATTAGAGACAGTGGCGTCATTTTTCCTCAGAGCTTTCAGCTCTTTGATTCTAACTTTAGTTTGCCTCAACCAAATGTTATGAAACTTATACACAATGCTTATTACTACATAATACAGATTAAGTACGAAATTTGGTGGCAACACTTTTACCGTTCTTGAGTTATGTCCCTTTATAAAATAAAAATTGCTGAATTTTTTAATTTGTCTCAACCAAATGTTATAAAACTTATACACAACCATTCTAGAGTTATGCGTGTTTACAAATAGAAAAATTGCTGAATTTTTTCTGTTCTCTACTTAAGTTAGCCTCAACCAAATGTTATGAGACTTACACACAATGCTTATTACCACAAAACTTAGATCAAGTTCAAATTTGGATAGCGTCACTTTTACCGTTCTTCAGTTATGTTCCTTTATAACTATATGAAATGCAAGAGGGGGCATCATCTGTGTCCACATGTGGACACTATCCACATTTATTTGTAACAATAAACAGTGTTGCACATGCAATTTCAAAGCTATTAAATTTAAGCTGAAAATGTTCATAGTGCTCATGGTGCTAATGCAGGGTTGTGTAACTCTTTTGTATAGTGGTAGGTTGGGATCCTAGCTAGGTGAAAATGTTAAACTTTTCCCCTGCAATAAATTATCATATTCCCTTCTATCAGGAGCAAAGGCAATTACTAAAAATATGTAAGTATTTGCAGACAGTAATAAATGGCTGACCATTACCATGCACATGTGTGATATGAAAATCTTACAGCTGTATAAAAATGGATTAACTGTCATAGTAATATTTTGATAAGATGAATATGATAAAAAAGAAACTGAAAGAAAACAATTTTTCAGATATTTTAAGTCAAAGGGTGGCCTTCTTCACTATCAATTAATTTTCAGTGAACTACACATGTTGCAATGCCATAGAGATTATTCATGTAGATTCTATTCATTAAGACAATTAATTTCCACATTTAAAAATAAAAATAAAACGTCATTATCTTGAAAGGGGCCAACCTATTTCGATTCGTCCATCTCGGGTTGACAAAAGAGTTATAAAAGCAGTGTTGATGTGCATGTGCGCAACCTTCTCGAATAGAAGTGAAAACTCTACTGGAGTTGACTCTCAAAATGGAAGATGTGAATATAGCAGCAGTTGTTAATTTTCTTTTTATGGACATCCACAATGAGCAACTTAATGTTCAAATTGATATTTGTAACATAATTGAATTAAAGAACTTCTATCATTTTCTCACTTTCAGTTCTTATGGGGCCATTATTATCATTTTTTAAATCCTCCTGCCCCTTCCTCCCCTAAGCAAATGGAATGATTTTTTGGTAAAACATTCACACTTTACTCTAAGCAACTCAAAGTACCGAAATTATACTTTTTCTGTTCTATTTAAAAACGTCACTGACAGTATTTCACACGAAAAATATTTGTCAATGCCAAAGTACAACCAAAAAATAAATTTCACTTATCATCCCCTTTTTAGCTCACCTGGCCCAAAGGGCCAAGTGAGCTTTTCTCATCATTTGGCGTCCGTCGTCCGTCGTAGTTAACTTTTACAAAAATCTTCTCCTCTGAAACTACTGGGCCAAATTTGACCAAACTTGGCCACAATCATCACTGGGGTATATAGTTTAAAAATTGTGTCCGGTGACCCGGCCAACCAACCAAGATGGCCGCCATGGCTTAAAATAGAACATAGGGGTAAAATGTAAATTTTGGCTTATATCTCAGAAACCAAAGCATTTAGAGCAAATCTGACATGGGGTAAAATTGTTTATCAGGTCAAGATCTATCTGCCCTCAAATGGTCAGTTGACCCCTTAAAGAGTTATTGCCCTTTATAGTCCATTTTTAACCATTTTTCGTAAATTTTTGTAATGTTTTACAAAAATCTTCTCCTCTGAAACTACTAAGACAAATTTAACCAAACTTGTCCATAATCATCATTAGAGTATCTAGTTTAAAAAATGTGTCCCATGACCCCGCCCGCGAACCAAGATGGCCGACATGGCTGAAAAATAGTACATAGGGAAAAAGCAGTTTTTGGCTCATATCTCTGAAACCAAAGCATTTAGAGCAAATCTGATGAGTATAAAATTGTTCATTAGGTCAAGATCTATCTGCCCTTAAATTTTCAGACCAATCAGGCAACCCGTTGTTGGGTTGCTGCCCCTGAATTGGTAATTTTAAGGAAATTTTGCCGTTTTTGGTTATTATCTTGAATATTATTATAGATAGAGATAAACTGTAAACAGCAATAATGTTCAGAAAAGTAAGATCTACAAATAAGTCAACTTGACCAAAATGGTCAGTTGACCTCTTTAGGAGTTATTGCCCTTTATAGTCAATTTTTAACCATTTTTCATAAATTTTTGTAATTTTTTACAAAAATCTTCTCCTTTGAAACTACTAAGACAAATTTAACCAAACTTGTCCACAATCATCATTAGGGTATCTAGTTTAAAAAATATGTCCCATGACCCCGCCCGCGAACCAAGATGGCCGACATGGCTAAAAAATAGTACATAGGGTAAAATGCAGTTTTTGGCTCATATCTCTGAAACCAAAGCATTTAGAGCAAATCTGATGAGTATAAAATTGTTCATTAGGTCAAGATCTATCTGCCCTTAAATTTTCAGACCAATCAGGCAACCCGTTGTTGGGTTGCTGCCCCTGAATTGGTAATTTTAAGGAAATTTTGCCGTTTTTGGTTATTATCTTGAATATTATATTTTAGATAGAGAAAAACTGTAAACAGAAATAATGTTCAGCAAAGTAAGATCTACAAACAAGTCAACTTGACCAAAAAAAAAATCTTCTCCTTTGAAACTACTAAGACAAATTTAACCAAACTTGTCCACAATCATCATTAGGGTATCTAGTTTAAAAAATGTGTCCGGTGACCCCGCCCGCGAACCAAGATGGCCGACATGGCTAAGAAATAGTACATAGGGTAAAATGCAGTTTTTGGCTCATATCTCTGAAATTAAAGCATTTAGAGCAAATCTGATGAGTATAAAATTGTTCATTAGGTGAAGATCTATCTGCCCTGAAATTTTCAGACCAATCAGGCAACCCGTTGTTGGGTTGCTGCCCCTGAATTGGTAATTTTAAGAAAATTTTGCCGCTTTTGGTTATTATCTTGAATATTATTATAGATAGAGATAAACTGTAAACAGCAATAATGTACAGCAAAGTTAGATCTACAAATAAGGCAACAGTATCCAAAATTGTCAATTGACCCCTTAAGGAGTTATTGCCCTTTATAGTCAATTTTTTACAATTTTCATAAATTTTGTAAATTTTTGTAAATTTTTACAAAGTATTTTCCACTGTAACTACCGGGCCAAGTTCATTATAGATAGAGATAATAGTAAGGAGCAAGAATGTTCAGTAAAGTAAGATCTACAAACACATCACCATCACTAAAACACAATTTTGTCATGAATCCATCTGTGTCCTTTGTTTAATATGCACATAGACCAAGGTGAGCGACACAGGCTCTTTAGAGCCTCTATTTTTGGCTGTATTTTATAAAGTTGCAGTTATTTTGTATCATACTCTTTGCTGTTCTTGTTGCTCGCCATTTTGTAGCTCTTCTAAACCTGCCTCAACCAATGGTTGATTTCGAGTTAACTCCTGTTATGTTCAAAAGGAAAGGTCAAACTGGGGGGGGGGGGGGGGGGGGGGCGAGGGGACGTAACAGTGTTGTGTGTTTGATTGAAACTCCAGTAAACTCGACAAACTCTTCTAACCCGAGTTTGAGGAATCAAAGTAAGCTAGGGTAAACATGAAAAAGGTCAAGTAACTTAAAATGACATTAAACTTTATTGTGTCAATTAGTTGTATTTTATTGAAATCTTCAACTAATCAAGTAATGAGTTTGTCAATTTTCAATGGTAATTTTAAACACCTTGTATTTTATACATCTCTTTAATCATTTGTAATGTTTTTTTCTTTACCTTTTTTTACACAAAATAAAGATATGTATAACTTAAAAGTTGAAAAGGAAACCAGATAAAACCACAAAGAATAGGGAAGTTGGATAAGTCAGAATGTTTTTGTTTCTATTTGTACACTTGACTCATACATTTTTGCTGATTAGAACTTATTATAGTTTACTTTATTACAGGTTTAAAGTTTAGAGGATAAAGATGGATTGTTGTGCATCAATTGCAAGAGCTTTGTTGATTTTCTTCAACTTCATTTTCTGGGTAATTATTTTATACTATAATTCAAATATCAGTCTTCAGGATAAACTTTTGAATCCACAGGCCTGATGCGGAATTTTATGAAAATTTTAGATTGATTTTATTTATCGACAGCATTTTTTCAAGCCTGGACTGGTGGGCCTGTGGTTGAGCACAAAGTCTGAAATATATGTACATATTTCATACATTTAGTGGTTTAGATTTGTGGGTTTTTTTCTCAATAATTTGTTTACCAAAAATTAATGTCATTTGTTGTTGGATCTATACATGTATATATTAGAAGTATGAAAAATATTAGTAAAGAATGGAGAATTTGAATTGGCTATTTGTATAAAGCTTTAATTTGCATTGACTTGCATTTTTCATCAATTTATAAGCTAGACTTTTTATTATAACAAGAACATGAAGAAGTTCCCATCCCCCACTCCCTCGAGAAAATTTAAACATGAATTAATTTATGAGTGT